TTTCTGTTTGTGTTTCCCAGTATTTTCCTGAAGGAGCTGGAAAACTACGAGCAGCTTCCAGAAGACGTGGGCCACTGCTTCGTCACCTGGGTAAATAATCAATATAATTCAACGCTGACGTTGGTCGCTCTGTTTTTAAATGTTAAAGTGAATCTTTGTGTCGTTTTATTTGTTCAGGCGGATAAATTCCACATGTACGTGACGTACTGCAGGAACAAACCGGACTCCAGTTTACTGATCCAACAACATGGAGTCGGGTTCTTTGAGGTCAGCTTTCACAACAAATTTACTTATATACTTTATTATACACTGCAAAAACATTCTAGCAAGTACAAATTTCTTAAATTACTGATATGAACCCTTAATTTGAGCAGGTAAATGAGATAGTTTACCAATGGAAAGAGGATTTTTACACTTAAAATAAGATTATTACCGTAATTTTCGGACTATAAGCCGCACCTGAATATAAGCCGCAGGTTTTTTTATGTTTAATTACCAAATGGTTCGTACACAGAGAGGATTGTCGGGAAAGAGGCAACTGTTTGGGGAAGCTCCTATTTATGGCGTCTCCAACGTCTCCCCATTGACTCGTTGATTCCAACGTTATGCGCAGCGGTTCTATTTCCTTCGTTTGCTGCCAAATGGACAGCCTTTGACCTAAAAGCTGCATGAAATGCATTTCAACGTATGTTTTCCATAATGAGGTCGTCACACAAACTGTCTTGCGCTCGCAATGTCCGTCTTTCTCGGAGTCTGCTTCCGGAGGACGTCCGCATTCCCGCGCGCGAGGCTACTTGTGTGTTGAAGCAAATGTGACGTCAACATGGTGGATGGTAAAATCCATAGATTAGGTACCGTATTACCAGAGTGGCCGTTAGCTGTGAAAGTCCATAGATGAGCCGCATTGTTATATAAGGTCGAAAAATGGTCGAAAAATGGAGAAAAACTCGTGGCTTATAGTCCGAAAATTATGGTAGACAAAATGTACTTGAAATAAGACAATGAAATTGTGTTTTCTTATTTTAAGTGTAAATTGTCTTGTTCCGTTGGCAAAATGTCTCTTTTATCTCCTCAATCCAAGAATAATTGCACTTATTTTAAGAAAAAATAACGATCCCTGAGGGACATCAGTTTCACATGATGTCCATCTTAGTTTATCTAAACTGAAAAACGATGACAGAAGTGCGGATGTTCAGCCTGTCCTACTGCGTGGCTCTGACTGTAAGCAGGAAACGCTTATTGATGAATATTAACTCTTCTTCCTTTTAATGCAGGAGGTCCAGAGGAGACACGGCCTGGCCAACTCCATCTCCTCAGCTCTAATTAAACCGGTGCAGAGGATCACCAAGTACCAGCTGCTGCTGAAGGTGAGAAAACAAACCGTCCCTCAGCAGCAGAGCTTTAGAAGGAGACTGTTATAAAAAAAAAAAAAAGGAGAAAAGTTGGTTTTCTCCTCCGTCTGCAAAACAAACCTCTGAAGATTCTCCCGACTTCCAATCCAGCACCACCCAAAGGACGCAGTGTTTGTCTCTGGAATAACTAATGAAAATGTTGTTCAGTCTAAAAGCATTTAGGATTCAGCTGCAGAGAAAGGCAGGAGGAGTCGATACACAGGAAGAAATCTACAGCTAGATTAGTCTTATTTTCTTACAATAAGCGCATTTGTTGTTCAGCTGAAGAGGAAAAAGATATTTTGCCAATAGAACAAGACAATTTACATCTAGAATAAGAAAAATCTGTCATTTAAGAGTAAAAATGCTCATTCCATTGGCAAACTATCTCATTTATCTACTCAAATTAAGAGTAAATACACTTAATTACTTTTTCTAGATTGTTTTTCCAGTGTTCTGCTGTTTTACACTGCAAAAACGATCTAGAAATAAGTAAAAAATTCTTAAATTAAGTATCTCTTAAGGGGTTAAGAATATATATATATAAACCTCCTATTTTCCCATCCAGCTGGTTAGAAATCAGTTAGAGTCTGAATTATGTTTTGCTGCTGAATGTTGTATCTGTTGGGAAAACATGCAACCGAACATCTGTGTCGATGACTGCAGCTCCCAGAAACACGTGTTCCTTCAGAGCGACAACGAGACAAATCAGGTCAGAAAATCTTCCATCACTGTATCAAATAAAGCAGATAAAAGCTCGCTGTAGGACGCCATCTTTGCTGGGACTTAGATTGGATGCAGCCCAGCAGGGAAGGGATTTTAAACTGGGGCTGCTGGGAAATGTTTTTTGGGTCAAAAAAGCTATGAGCCTTTTCAAAATACAATAAAAATAGATAAATAGATTCAGATTCACTACTTTATATTCATATAGACTTCAGAGCAGGCAACCAGAGGCTGTAACAGGGTAACGATTTTAGAAAACTGCAGCAAACACGGTCATCTTGGAGCTACCGTGTTTCCATGACAACCATCGGACGCTATGTGGATGACAGCGGAACGGGAGGGACGCCAGAAAGGAGTCAATGTCCTACTATCTCAACATAAAGATGATGTTCCAATGAAATCCTCTGGAGCTTTTAGCTTTGATGAGACTAAGATCACATTTTATTATTAGCCCAAAACGTCTCCAGCAAACATCAGGAAGCAAAAAAACTAGGAGAGACTAGGAAGAAATAAACACACTAGACACTAGGGGGCAGCAGAGAATAGGGAGCAGGTGGAGACAGACGTACCTAGAAGGAGCTACGTGGGAAAAGAAAGGACACTAGGGGGCAGCAGAGAATAACCAGAGAGAACAAATGGGATGTAAAAGTAACTACAAAAGAACTTAAATAAGAATAAAGGAGAATAAAACTAATGAAGACAAAATAATGAACTCCTGATGAGACTAAGATCACATTTAATTTGAGCCCAAAACGTCTCCAGCAAACATCTGGAACCAAAAAAACAAGGAGAGACTAGGAAGAAATAAACCTAAAGAATGACGAGGATCCAGCAACTGAACAGGAGGTGTATATATGGGAGACAGAAACAACTAATTGGCTAATAGGGAGCAGGTGGAGACAGACGTACCTAGAAGGAGCTACGTGGGAAAGGAAAGGACACTAGGGGGCAGCAGAGAATAACCAGAGAGAACAAATGGGATGTAAAAGAACTTAAGTAATAATATAGAGGAATAAAACTAATGACGACAAAATAACGAACTCCTGATGAGACTAAGATCACATTTTATTTTAGCTCCAGACATCAGCAGGGGCCCGTTTCTCCTTCAGAGGCCCCGGGGTCCCTGTTCATGTGTGTTCCTGTGTGTGCAGGAGTTGCTGGCCTGCTGCGAGGAAGGCAAAGGGGAGATCAAAGAAGGTCTGGATGTGATGCTGAGCGTCCCGAAGAGAGCTAACGACGCTATGCATGTTAGCATGCTGGAAGGTGAGGCGTGACCTTTGACTCAAAGTTCTTCCTTTGAATGAGTTTTAATGCGATGCACGCTGCAGGTCTGGAGGAAGGTCTGGAGGTGCAGGGAGAGCTCCTCCTGCAGGACACCTTCCTGGTCTGGGAGCCCAAGTCTCTGATCCGAAAGGGTCGAGACCGACACCTGTTTCTGTTCGAGCTGTCGCTCATCTTCAGCAAGGAGATCAAAGACTCATCGGGACGCACCAAATATCTCTACAAGAGCCGGCTGAGGGTAAACATCATTTCAGCCTCATTAAGTCAAGAAGAAGTTCATGAAAAATACTTTTTACTTTCTTATTTAGAAAAGTAGATTCTTAAAAGATGAAATAACTGCTGTTTTTTTCCAATATAATGGAGATTGATGTTGAAATATCGAACAATTTACATTCAAAATAAGAAAAAAAACAATTGAATTATCTTATTTCAAGTAGATTTTATCTAATTATCTTATTCTAAGAGTAAAAATACACTGCAAAATGATCTCAAAATGAGTAAAAATGTCTTAAATTAAGGCTATTTACCCTTAATTTGAGCAGGTAAATAAAATGATTTGCCAATGGAATTAGTATATATACTCCTAAAATAAGGTATCTAGATAAAACACACTTGAAATAAGACAATGCAATTGTTTTTCTTATTTTAAGTGCAAATTGTCTTGTTTCATTGGCAAAATGTCTCACTTAAATCCTTAATTCAAGAAAAATGCACTTATTTTAAGAAGAAATGACTTATTTTGATTTCATTTTTTTGCAGTGTACTCATTCCATTGGCAAACTATTTCATTTATCTGCTTAAATTAAGGGTAAATATACTTAATTTAAGAATTTTTTTCTTATTTCTAGATCGTTTTTCCAGTGTCAGTAAATGAGAGAGACGGAAATTTACTGATAAAAATACTAAATAAATTAATTAAGGAGATGGAAATAACTGCACTGCAAAAAACTTTCTGAAAATGAGCAAAAGTTTCTTAAAATAAGCGAATTAACCCTTAATTTGAGTAGAAATAAGATTATATGCTGACAGATTGAGCATTTTAACATTAAAATAAGATACACTGCAAAAAATCTAAATCTAGATAAGTCATTTTTTCTTAAAATAAGTGCATTTGTTCTTGAATTGAGGNTCTCAAAATGAGTAAAAATGTCTTAAATTAAGGCTATTTACCCTTAATTTGAGCAGGTAAATAAAATGATTTGCCAATGGAATTAGTATCTTTACTCTTAAAATAAGGTATCTAGATAAAACGCACTTGAAATAAGAGAATGCAATTGTTTTTTCTTATTTTAATTGCAACTTGTCTTGTTTCATTGGCAAAGTGTCTCACTTAAATCCTTAATTCAAGAAAAAATGCACTTATTTTAAGAAGAAATTACTTATTTTGATTTCATTTTTTTGCAGTGTACTCATTCCATTGGCAAACTATTTCATTTATCAGCTTAAATTAAGGGTAAATATACTTAATTTAAGACATTTTTTCCTTATTTCTAGATCGTTTTTCCAGTGCCAGTAAATGAGAGAGACGGAAATGTACTGATAAAAATACTAAAAAAATTAATTAAGGAGATGGAAATAACTGCACTGCAAAAAACGTTCTGAAAATGAGCAAAAGTTTCTTAAAATAAGTGAATTAACCCTTAATTTGAGTAGAAATAAGATTATATGCTGACAGATTGAGCATTTTAACATTAAAATAAGATACACTGCAAAAAATCTAAGTGATTTTTTCTTAAAATAAGTGCATTTGTTCTTGAATTGAGGAGGTAAAAGCGACATTTTGCCAGTGGAACAAGACAATTTACACTTAAAATAAGAAAACACAGTTGCATTCTCTTATTTGAAGAGCATATTATCTTAATTATCTTATTTTAAGAGTAAAAATACTGATTCCATTGGCAAATTATCTAGTTTACCTACTCAAATTAAGGGTAAATACACTTAATTTAAGAAATTTGTACTTATTTCTTGTTTTTGCAGTGTAATTAGTTATTATGCACTTAATCACTGCAAAAAATGGAAATCTGTATGAGTTTTTTTTGCTTAAATTGAGTGAATTTTGTCTTGAATTGAGGAGATAAGTGAGAAAACTTGCCAATGGAACAAGATAATTTACATTTAAAATAAGAAGCAATTGCATTGTCTTATTTCAAGTGAATATTATCTAATTGTCTTATTTTAGGAGTAGAAATACTTATTTACCAACTAAAATTAAGGGTAAATCCACTTATTTTAGGAAAGGTTGTACTTTTTTCTAGATGTTTTTTGCAGTGTAAGAGGCTGCAGTAGTTTTTTTTCTTATTTTAATTGTAAATTGTCTTATTCTGCCGGCAAAGTGACTCAAATCTGCTCAATTCTAGAAAAAAACGACTTCTCTAGATGTCGATTTTTTACAGTGTGTGGTATTTTTCTTGAAGGATTTAACAGTAGAAGCAGCCATTTTATTAATTTTATCCTCTTAGACTAAATCCTTTTGAAAGAAACCAACTAATCTAAGATCTGTTTCTTTATTATTGGTTGATCTATTATTGACAGTTTTTAAATTTTGGACATGAACCTTTTAACTAACGAAGGAAAACCATGATGTGTGTGTCAGACCTCAGAGCTGGGGGTCACGGAGCACATCGAGGGCGATCCCTGTAAATTCGCCCTGTGGGTTGGAAGAACGCCAACATCCGACAACAAGACGGTCCTGAAGGTACGCCTCCACCCGCCCTGGAAGGCGGGGCCTCACCCAGAGCGAACCTATCAACGCTTTCTGATGTTCTATCCATGACCTTTCAGGCTGCATCGCTGGAGCTGAAGCAGGAGTGGGTTCGCAGCATCCGCCAGGTCATCCAGGAGAGGCGGGGTCACCTGCGGGGGGCGCTGAGGGAGCCCATCCCCCTCCCCAAGACCCCCAACCCAACGCTGGTACGACAGCGCAGCATCACCCGCAGGTCAGACCTTAAACTAAAACCTTCATCTGAATCTCTAGATTTAATCTCAGCTTCTTCTCTGTAATCAGTTATTAAATCATCCGTCACGTTTTATGAGGCTCCGCTGGTTGAAACGCCGAAAAGCTGCTATAAGGAGACTTTAGGGGGAAATAAAAGGATTAGAATATTGATAAAGGAACGAAGAAGCCATTAGAAGGTCTATGCCTCGCCTTAAAAGTAGACTGGGTGTCAGATTAAGAGCAAAGTTCTCTGTTAGGAACATAAAAGAAAGTAAGATGGGATTAAATAATCTCCTAAATGAGGAGAAAATGCTTTAAACTAATTATTAAAGGCATGTAAGAACTCTGTACTAAAGGAAACAACCTTGTGTTCGTCAGGGAAACCAGCGAGGACGCAGACAGCCTGGGCGACGCCAGCAGTCAGCCCGACACCGTCTCCATCGCGTCCCGGACGTCCCAGAACACCGCCGACAGCGACAAGGTAGAAACACACATCAGACCCGGAGAGGGGCGGCGTGCGGAGCAGAGCTATGACCTCATCGCTGCCGCAGCTGGCTGGGTGTGAGGGTTAGGGTGGGAGTCTGAGGGGTTTTCCACAGTTCGCACTTCTTGTTGAGACGCTCTCTGCTCAGCTGATGAGGTACGTTTGATTTTGGGACCTACTGAGGGTTTGGCACGGGTGGGGTTAGGGTCGGTGACCTCTGACACCGTGACCCGGCAGGACGCGGTCCTTTGGTTGTGTTCAACGGAAGGGTGAGCGAGTAGAGGCTGAGAGGGACGACAGAAACAAGCTGCAGGTATTCAGCGGATTATCTTGTTTGTTTTACATTTAAAATAATCCTGATAATAATCCAATAATAATCTAATTCCCAGCAGGCTTAGACACACATATTTAAAACATAATTAATGTGAACAAATAAGGAATAGTTGTATTAACCATACATGTTAACTCTGTTTACATGTATGCTAATAGCAGCTTTTATAGCTGTGGATGTCGTGGTTTACTTTATTTACTTTTAAAATCTAAAGTCAAATAATTCAGAATAGAGGAGCAAGAAAACTGAATTTAAAGTAAAAGTTTGTGTCTAAAAGGGTTAATATGAAATACAAATGTAATGGTATTAAATATTGAATAGTTTCCAGATTATTTAGAGTCGCCTCCTCAGATTTCCTGCAGTGCAAAGCGTCTCTCTGTCAGCTCGCCGCCGCTCCTCGCCTGTTTTCCGTCTGCGTCTCTGAGCGGATCACAGCTGGGTTGCATTTAATCTGGGAACTCCCCTCCGCTCCCTGTGGAGCCTGACAGGGAAAGTGTTTCCTCCCCAGCTGGAGCCCATGTGCTCCGGTTACTCAACACAGAGGCAGCCGTAACCATGGTGACCTCCACCTATAGCTCTCGTCATGTTTCGGACCAATCAGAGCGTGGGTGTGGGCTGAGCATGGCTCATATGTCGCTCATCAGTCATGTGTTTAATCTGCTGCATAGAAACATTAATTTAACACTAAGTGGTTTTTAATGACATTATTTTATACCAGAAACATGGAAAATAGAAATAAAAAGATACAATTTTTAAAACTAAACAGAAACAGCTGATAAAATTATACATAAGTGAAACATTTTTTCTTAAATTAAGTGCATTTTTATTTGAATTGAGCAGGAAAGTGCGACAATTTGCCAATGGAATAAGACAATTTACATTTAAAATAAGAAAAAACAGCTGCAGTCTCTTATTTTAAGTGCATTTTATCTAATGTTTTTATTTCAAGGGTAAAAATGCTCAAGTTAAGGTTAAATACACTTATTTTAAGAATTGTTTATCTTATTTTCAGAACGTTTTTGCAGTGAAGAATATATATAGTTTTATAAAATGTAAAACTGACAAAGTTACAACCATAACACTGCAAAAAAAATCTAAATAAGTAATTTTTTAAGATAAATGCATCCTTCTTTAATTTAGGAGGCAAGTGAGACACTTTGCCAATGGAAAAAGACAATTTACATTTAAAATAAGAAAAAATAACAATTGCACAGCTTATTTCAAGTGCATTTTATCTAATTATCTCATTTTAAAAATAAAAACACTAATTCCATTGACAAACCATCTAATTTACCTACTTAAATTAGGTTTAAATACACCTTATTTAAGAAATGTTCACTTATTTCTTGACCATTTTTGCAGTGTTACATTATCTTTGCACCGTTCTCAGTCATGCACTGCAAAAAAGGAAATCTAAATAAGTCATTTTTTTTCTTAAAATAAGTCATTTTTTCTTTTATTGAGGAGGCAAGTGAGACATTTACACTGCAAAAATGATCTGGAATTTAGTAAAACTTTATTAAATCAAGTATATTTACCCTTAATTTGAGCAGGAAAATAAGATTTGTTTGCCAATGGAATGAGTATTTTTACACTTAAAATAAGACTAAGCAATAGTTTTTTCTTATTTCAAATGTAAATTGTCTTGTTCCATTGGCAAAGTGTCGCACTTACCCCCTCAATTTAAGAAAAAATGCACTTATTTTAAGAAAAAATTACTTAGATTTTCATTTTTTGCAGTGTAACCAATGGAACCTGATAATTTCCATGTAAAATAAGAGAAAACACAATTGCATTGTCTTAGATAAGTGCATATTATCTCATTGTCAGGATTAGGTTGAGGTTTTGAGGACCCAAATGCAGAAGCGAGGAGGCAGAGAAGAGTTTTGTAGATTAAATTTATAATCTAAAAACTAAAATACACGACACATGGAACCAAAAATCAGAAAACTTCAGGGGAAAACTCACGTGGTGAGCCAGGAAACGACGAGGAACCAGCACAGAGGAACTGCACAGGGAGAGTATATATGGGAGACTGAACAGAGACAGGACTAATGAGCTGATTGGGAGCAGCTTTGGACAGAGGAGTCTAGAAGGGAGCTAAGGAAAAATAGACCAACACAAGAGGGCAGCAGAGGGCAAACAAAAAATACCTAAAAACTCAAATACATCCAGAAAAAACACAGCAAAATAGGAATTAAACCAATAAAACTAGAAAACAAAGAAAAACATGAATCAATGTGAAACTGAAAACTCAGAAGAAAAGTTAAACAGAACCAAGACTGTGACACTAAGGATCTTATTTTAAGAATAAAATTCCTCATTCAATTAGCGAATCGTCTTATCTACCTTGAATTACACTGCAAAAAAATGGAAATCTTAATAAGTCATTTTTTTCTTAAAATAAGTGTAATTTTTCTTTAATTAAGGAGGTAAGTGAGACACTTTGCCAATGGAACAAGACAATTTACATTTGAAATAAGAAAACAACAACAACTAACTTTAAGAGTAAAAATACAAATTTCATTGGCAAACTATCGCGTTTATCTACTCAAATTAAGGGTAAATACACTTAATTCAAGACATTTTTACTTATGTCTAGATCATTATTGCAGTGCATAGAGTTCAGCACTGGAAAAACAATCTAGAAATAAGTAAAAATCCCTTAAATTAAGTGTATTTACTCTTAAAATAAGATAATTAAATAATATATACATGAAATAAGATAATGCAATAGTGTTTTATTATTTCAAGTATAAATTATCTTGTTCCATTGGCAAAATGTCTCTTCTATCTCCTGAATTCAAGAAAAAATGCACTTATTTTAAAAAAAATGATTATCTAGGTCTTGATTATTTCCAGTGTTCCTTTAATTTTATAGATTGAAATGGTCTAGCTCTATCGTCTTCTCTGTAACACTCAAACCTTCCCCCGTTTCTCCTCCATGTTCTGAGGTCAAAGGTGATCCATCATAGCCTGATGGCGTCCAAAGACCACTAAGAGCAGAGAATCGTTGAAATCTCTGCTGATCTTGGATTGATTCAGTTATAGATCTTAAATGGTTAGAAGTTATTCTGTATTTTGTTTCATTTTCCACTGCATGGTTGTTGGTGTCAGTATTTGGCCTATTGGTGTCGAATCTCCTGACCTCCAGCATCAGTGAGGTCATTGAGCTTCAGTTAGAGTCCATCAGCTGAGGAGCATCATCAGATGATGCGGTTTGATGGCGGGGATCCACGCTGACACTAACACGCCTCTCTGTGTCCATAAGCTGAGGAGCATCATCAGATGATGCGGTTTGATGGCGGG